CGGCCCCCCCAAGGGGGGGGGGCCATTGAGGGGGGTGGGGGGGACGAACAGCCCCCTCCCTTTCCTCGGGGGGGGGGACCCTTTGGGCGACCTCGTGAGTTTTTGGCGGGCCCGCCCCCCCCCCCCGCCCCCCCCCCCCGCCCGCCCGCCCGCCGCCCCCCCCTGCTGTTGGCGTGGATGACGTTCGTTGTGCATGGCAGTGATCTGATAGGCTGTTTTGGAAGGGGCGCGATGATAGCGTATGTTGGGAGGTTTTGGGTAGTTGAACACGGGGATCGGCTGTGTTGACAGATCGCGATGGTCTATTGGAGGTTTTGGTGCAGCTGAAAACTCGAAAAGAATATGAAAACACATGAAGGTGGATATAACGTGACAACATGAGGTGATCTCGTCGAGGTATATTTTGGACTGCCCGCTGCTAACACTGCTGGTGCTGGTGCGTGCATTAGGGTTCTCGCTAGCGCCATCAATGTGCTATGCTAGCTTGGTGTTACTGTCGTGTCTCTGCCGATGCGGATGCGGATGCGGATGCAGATACGGGTGCTGATTTTGATGTCGCTGTTGTTGGTTGTGTTGAGGGCACGGGGCATGGTCTATAATGCCTTTCGGCCGTTGTGCCTGTACTGACGCTGCTGTCCCTTTTTTCCATATTTTGTATTCAACCTCCGTTTTCCACACTCTTGTTCCCGCATGCCGTTTTCCGCCTTGGCAGGAGGCGTTCGACGCCCAGTCGTTCGTGAGCCGTCTTCTGGGGTTCGGGGACATGAAGGGCCTCATGAGGCAGATACAGGAGAGCCAGGAGGGGTCTGGCGACCCTAAGGAGATGATGTACGTGTCACAAGATGTTTGTTATGTGGTGCAGTCAAAACAGCAACATCAGGGTAGAAGTCGCAGTGATCAGCAACAGCTCTAGTTTATGTTAGCTTCGATTTTCGCGTCTATTTTATTGAGGAGGTCGCGAATCTGTGTTTTTGTACGAATCCTTATCCTTGTGGTTTTTGCAGGGAGCGAATATCGAACAAGGGGAAGTTCACTCTCAGAGACCTGTACAAGCAGCTCAGCTCCGCCATGAAGCTGGGTCCCATGAACAAGGTTATGGGCATGATCCCGGGAATGGGAGAAATGGCACAGGTGAATGAAAGTGGGACGGTATGGTAAACACTAAATACCGTCATGTATGCATAGGCTGAATCTACGTGGTACTGAAACTTGAACCTCACATGCCTTTTGCAGCAACAAGAAGCGGAGCACGTTCCGTCTATACCAGATAGTGCATGCCCGTCAGGTTTGTGTGGAATGTGACTACGTCGCTAAGTGCCTTGAAGAAAACTTAGCATTGCATCGCGTTGATTACGCCGCACGTCTCTTGTATGTAACAGCGTCTAGGTCGCTCTCCACCAATCGAGCAAGAAGCACATTTTGGCGCCTTCCGCTTGTTTTTCTCTCTCTCTCTCCCTCCCTCCCTCTGCCCTTCCAGATGGCGAATAATTCTACGACTCAGGGTATGTTCAAGAAGAACCTGTACATAATGGATTCCATGACGGACGATGAGCTTGACGGAAAGGTGAGAACGTTTGCTTGCTAAGTTAGCATTTGCTTCACAAAAGATACGATTTTTTCTTGAACCCGGAAACATGTGGGAAATAATTTCTGTAGTCCTCCCCACCTCCCAACGCTTCCAACCACATGGCGCTTGTACCACACCCTCTACAACGCACTCTGCGGCCACGCCGTATACAATACGTTGTAGTACACCCTACACGATGTGTGATAATGTATGCAGGGCGTGGCGTGCTTCTGTTACGGCCATGAATGTCGGTGCGTAATGGGAACCGATGGCACTGTTTGTTTTAGTTTCAAGCCATCGATTACAAAGGAGGCCGTGCCATTCATCGGTACATGAAAATGTGCAGGTCGACGTATGTGAACGACGTTTCAGGAATTGGTTTGTCGAACAGCAATGCCTTTAAGAATGGATAATATTTTCGAAGTCCAACCACGGATCCATTCTTTCGGGCCCACAAAAGAAGAGGAGATATAGCCAAAGACTGGTTGTTGTCTGCGACAATGCCGAGTGTTCATGAGGTGTGCTTGCTCATGTTGCTGGAAACTTGGAACTACTGTTGTGCTACTGTACGGTGGTACTGTAGCCTCACGTGTTGCAGATCTACGAAGTATGCTCTGAAACGTCGGTGTTTTTGTTGTCGAAGCCACTCCTCGAAAGGTCCGTTAATAGGAGACTGTCGGAGCTAAATCATATACCGGCATTTTTCTTGTCCTCTTTTTTGAAACGCCATGTGGGTAGGTTTTTTCTTTCGTCGTACTTTCGTCGAAGGGGGGCGGATTTATTTCTGGGAGGCGTGTTTTCTCCGTGACGCCTCTCCAGTTCTTGCCGCCCATATCAAACCAAACTACAGCCACAATAAAGGTTGTAGCGGCATTGATCCTCCGCGTCTACAAATATGACCAATAGGGGGAGGAGACGGGGGGGGGGGGGGGGCTAGGGGGGCATGTCCTGCTCAGTTTTTGCCTCCCCTCCCCCGCTGTTTGCCGTACAGTTTTACGAGGGTGCCATGCAGTCGCCACGCAGCTGGGGCGTCGTTCAGATTTGGAGAAAACCTGAGAACCTGTTGCCCTCACACGAACGAGGTGTGCATGTTTTGTTCCCCGCAACACGCTCGTCAATGTCAATATTACGTGCTTGGGCTATGGCTCATTTGCTCCGTGTCGTCGTTCCGTGGGCTGTTGTTGTGGTAGCCTTCTGTTGCCCGCACGAACAGACAGACAGCATCGTCCCCGTGTGTGTGTGTGTCTTTTTTCTCGCCCAACATGATGTCCTTTTTGGAGAAAGAACGGACCTAGACGGCGTGGAAAACCCATGCCGCGTCGCACGAGACGAGGGTGCGATCAATGCCACCAAGTGTCGCTTTTGGTACCCAGACCTATCACGCGGTTTGACCCACTGCGGGACTGACGTGTACAGAAAATGTCTTTGCCCCACGACAATGCTATTTGAAAACGCTGCTCTTGCTGACTTTTTAAAGGAAATATCTTGCTCCACAATAATGCTATTTGAACACGCTTGTCTTACCAAAGGTGGACCTGTCTCAGTGCGAGAGTCGACTCCTGCGGATAGCGAGAGGGAGCGGGACCCACCCCGACCAGGTCCGCGGGCTGCTGAAGCTGCACAAGCACTTCGAGAAGGTGTTCGGAAAGGTCGGAAAGAACATGAAGGGCGACGCCAGCAAGGCCAAGCAGCTGCAGGTGCGTAGAGCCGTGCGTGTGACCCCGCGTTCGTCCGTCCACGGCGTGTCTACGAGGGAGGGGCTATTTCGTGGGAGAATTGGGGGGGGGGGGGGGGGG